TTTTTGTGCAAAATATTCTATATAAAAGATAAATGATTTTTCATAGAAAATAGATCTAGATTTTAATTGAGAATGATTATACAAATATTTCTATAGACAAATCTATGTAGATTATTATTCTTCTTCTTCTTTGTTTTTTCATATCTATGTTTATTTTATTATAGATTATATATTATATTCTTAACCTCTTCGGTTTTTCTTTTTTGGTATTTTAGGCATTATCATAAATCTATTCAAATATGTCCCTTAATTGCGTCGTTTTTGAACCAGGTACTATGTCAGTAAGTTTTCTATGAATCTTTTTTGTTTATAATATAATTATAATAATATTCAAAAAAAAAAAAAAAAAGGATTTTCGTTCCAAACGTGCTCGACATGATAGTTATCATCGAATAAGTAAGTTATAAAAGAAATTTATTTTATTTATTTATATGAAATTTTAATTATTTAGATAATGAAGAAATTTATCAATCATTTTTTATAACTCACACATGTTATGATTGTATGCCTAAAAGTGGCAAAGTTTTATTACTTGATGCACGTTTATCAATTCGGAAAGCTTTTTTTGCACTTGTATTCAATAATGTTCGAGCTGCACTTGTATGGAATGCGGCAACATCATCAACTATTGGTCTTATTACAATTAGTGATTTTATTAATATGCTTATTGCTGCTTATGATGCTAAATGGGTAAAAAATTTATATAGTGTATATATAACAAAAACAAAAAAAAAAAAGAAATTGAATTTCATAATAAATAATTAATGTTTACAATTGAAAGTTATATAGAGTTTTTCATGAATTCTTTAGATTAGAAAAAAAAAATGGAGCTATTAAGTAATAGAATGGTTATAAGAGTCTTTCTTATTTGTGTAAAGAGCACTTATAAATATCCAAAATCATTGAAAATTATTTGCTTCTATTAATTTAATTACTTGAGCTTTTATCTAAGAGTAACAATGCAATGAATGAATGCTTTTTGTTTTTTTCTCATAGGCTTTTCAATCGTGGTTAGTGATGTAATCCAATAGTGAGTCACACCCACGATTGATCTATTGGATTATGTCGTCTTCAAGATGTCAATTTTTCTTTTTTTGTAAAAACTAGAAATACTGATCTTACAAAAGAAAGAATTCTAAAATTGATCTATTTTTTCAGTTCAAACATAAAACAAGAACGTGATGAGTTGAAATATTGATTCAATGAAATCACAATCTAAAAGTAACAGCGAGTTAAGATTTAATTACAACAAGACTATCATTACGATTGCCTGAAGTATACCGCATTGTTAGCGAAAGTGGAAGAGGAACAATTAGTCTAAATGTCATTTAAATAATCATCTAATATTCTTATTTATAATTTATTCGTGTTTGTATTTAATTAATTTGAATTTTCTACGAACAGACTTTTTTTTTAATTAACTTAGAAAGTAAATAATTTTGATCCTTTTCATATCTATTATAAATTGTATCGATAACTATAATATATTAGGAAGTAGGAAAAATATTCTAACGTAATAATTCAAACTATGATAATGTTTAAGTTCAGTAAGTTTTCGAATTATAATGACATGCAAAATAAATTGTTATATTGGTTGATTAAGTTTAAAGACATCTGTCACTTACAAAGAAAGTTCTTCAACCGATAAATTGCTTTTGAGATCGAGATTATGTTTTTACTACCATAGTATTCATTAAAAAAGAAATATTGTAAAAGTGCAGTATTTTCACGGCAATTAGCTAAGGATCACGAACTCTTTTTAAATCTCATTTCAATCTACATAATGTTGAGTGAAAAATGAATTGTCGTTTGGGAGATAATGAACTGCAGGATCTGAATCCGAGTTCGAAATAATAAGAATCTTCAGCTCTCTTTAATTAAAGAATTTTCTTTAATACGTAAATATTTGATCGATTAATCTTAAATTCTTACTATTTATTATTGAAAAGAGATAAATTTGTTTATTTTTATTTTAGAATAGTCTTGATACACTTGAAACTTCATCTATATTTGAATGGAAACATAATTTACATCAACAAAATGGAACTAATAATCAATCTATTGATTCTAATATATGTCAACTTAGTCCACAAGATAGGTAAATAAAAATTTTATGATTCATTTTTTTTTTTTTTGTTATTCTAGAAAAGAAAAAAAAAAGTATTATCTTTTATTTAGTTTATATACAGCTACTTTGACATTAATTGATCGTAAAATACATCGTATACCTGTCATTGATCCTATATCACATGACTTTTTATTTTTAATTACTCATAAACGTATATTAAAATTTTTATATTTATACGTATGTTAAAAAAATTTTTTTTTTTTTCTTATGTATTATTTTTGATATATTTTATTTCAATTAGATCTATGATTTGCCTCAACCACATTTTATTCATCAAACATTAGATGAACTTAAAATTGGTACTTATGATAATATAGTAATGGTATGTATATTTATGTTAGTATTATAGTGGGATCTAATATATATCTCATTCATTTTGTTTTTTATAATCTTTTATTAGCTTACTTCGTTTATATACTATAGCTAGAACAGTTTTAAGAAATGTACAACTATTAAATTTTTCTGTTAAAAAAAGGAATGCAATATTGATAATAATAGTACTGAGAAGTGTCTGTTATTGGTAATTAAAATATATAAATGAAATTTTGAAACAAAACCTAAAAACTAATGAATAACTAAAGACATAAAAGTATACAATAAAACAAAATAAGATATCATTCTGTTGTCAATATAAGTGACAAGGAAACAATGTTAATAATAAAGCCTTATATAAATAGAAACTATGAACTAATCTATGTTAATAGAAATATAAAAATAGCAAATAAGCAAGAAAATCTGCTTAAAAAAAGAACTTCATAAACTATTAATAACTGTTCCAGTTCTTATTGAGCTTCGGTAGGACTAAAAAAAAAGGATCATGTTATCCACGGATTTCTAAAGATTAGTTATGATTGTTTTATTGACTTTTCTACCTACTTTCAGGTATATTATTAGAAAATTAAATAACAGAATTTTGTCCATAGATGAATTTATTCGAATTGAATCAAAACAAACTTTTGAGTAACAACAAAAAAATGAACCGAATAAGAATTCAAACCTTAAGATATATGAACAGAGAAGTCGTCCAGTATTGTTAATTAAATTGTCAAAAGTTTTAGAACAGTGATTATCAATATAAATCTATCCGTTGAAAAAATTAATTCATGTTAAAAAGTTTAAAGTGAAGACAAATATCAATAGAGATATAAGTTACATATCTCAAATAGATATGTTGAGTAATTATTTGATGTAAATGAGTCTGTTAATAAATTCTAAAAGAATAGATCTTGATAAAACGCAATATATTTATTTCATATGTTTCACCAAAAATAAATGAAGTGTGCTAATAAAAAAAAAACACAAAGAAAAAAAAAATTAATTCATATCTATTGTATTATTGTTTATTCGTTTATAAATTGCAATATGAAAAAGATTACGTATAAGTAGAATAGATAAATCATTTGTTGCAAAACCAAGATATTCAGGTTCAATATCTAATATTATTTCATTTATTAATTCTAATTTATTATTATTAATATTATAAAGAGATAAAATTTTGCTTTTTTGAAATATAATTATACATTGTTCTTGTTGATTTGATATTGATGAATAATCATATGGAATTAAAAAAATATGTAATGGACAATATAATGTATTTAATAAAAGACGATGTTGTAAATTCATATCAAATGAACGTATATGAAATTCATAAAATTGATTAGATGAAATATCATCTTAAAATAATTAACGAAAAAAAAAAAAGAAAATATTTGTTATCAAATAATTAAAATTTAAACTTACTTGATTCATATGTAACAATAAAAAGAAATATATTTTTACCAACAATAAAATCATTAATAGTTTTTAATTGATTATTTAAATTAGTTATATTATTATCAATGTTTTTTAGTAAATCAATTTTAGTATTATCAATTTTTGGATAATTCCATTGTTTTATGACATTGAAATTTTCACTAAGATCAATTTCAATTAATATATATTGAGAAAATTTATTAATAAGAAAATAAATTAAATTTGATGATATTGGATGAAAAGTAAATTTTTGAAGAATACCTGAAAAATTTTCATGATTTATATCGTAATATTCTGTAATACAATGATTTTTATCTGTCTTTGATATTTGTAATGTAAATAATTTTGAACTAGTTGCAATTAAAAATCTTTGTAAATATGAACAATATTCTATATGAATAATTTTTTCTCGAAATTGTTTACATGGTATGCGTAATTTAAGACATAAATGTTTATTATTTGTTTGTTCAAGATAAGTTTGTAAATCAAATATATGAAGATATGATGATGATGATGTATAATGATCATAATAAACAAGTAATTGATCATGTACAGCAAATAAAGATGTTATATTTGATTGTATTGGTAATGTTGAAAAAAGTTGATAAGATGATAAATTAAAAGAATTTTTATTATTCATTAATAATATTGAATTATGTATATCATTTAAATGATTAATTTTTAATTCACAATATTGATTAAAATCAATTTGTTTTGGATGAATAATTTGTATTGATGAATGAATATTATTAAGATGTTCAAGTAATTGTAAATTATGTTCTTGATTATTATGATTAATACAATTTGATAAACAATTTGCATATAATATATCTAAATAATGTATTTGTTGACGATTAATTTCGAAATATTTTTCTTTAATTTCATCAAGTTTTTTTTGAACATATTTATTTATTTTATTTATTATTTCTTGTTGCCATTTTAATAATTGATTAAATAAATTAGATAATTCATTATTATCATCATCATCATTTAGATTTGTTAAATATTGTTTTCGTAAATTAAGAATTTTATGTAATACATCACTAATTGACATTTTAGTTTCGAAGTAAGTTAAACTATATTTAAATGTTTGTATGTAATTCAAAAAAAGAAAATCGTAATGATATGTGTCAATCAACGGCGAAATTATGTAAAATAGGAAGAGTATTCTCTATGATTGTTTTTTTTAATTTTTCTCGAATATCTATGCATGATTTTGTTTCTTAAATGGTGTGCATGACATTTATATCTTTATAAATCTAAATGGGAATAAATGAGTCATTGTGATGAATAAAAATACATGACTATCGGCATGTGTATGTTTTTTATGTACTGAATGACAATAATTGCGTTGAAATTTTTATTTTCATTGTCAATAAAAACAATTGTATTTTATAAGATTATTTTTCTACTTTGAATATTTTTAGATCGAAAATACCCGTTCGTATAAACAAAAAAAAAAAATTCTAAAATTTCTCTATTTAGAAACATAAATAACTATTTTCAATTATATGTTTGTTTGTTTGTTTGTTTTTTCCTCAATTACGAAGAAATAGTATAATTAATATATTGATAATGTTAAATTATCATAGCATAGAACGGTCAAATAAAGATATAATTAATATCATACATTAATTTTTGATTTTGATTCATCTATTTTGTTTTGAATAACATTTGATTAGCAAGTTTTATTCTAATTTTGCCATTGAAAAATTATCTTTCACATTTCTTTTGTTATAAAGTACTAGAAAATGTCGTCTCAATAGAACATAATTTTTTTACCTGTCATTAAAATATGAAAAGAATTTTAAATTTTAATCAATTATCTAATTTTGTTATGATGAAAAAGTCATGCATATACAATTTTGTTTTTAGTAATTTTCTCTAGTAAAAAATCTTGTTAGATTTTGTGACTAATCTTGAACTAGGATGTTATATTGGCTATAATCCTTTAGAAATATATGTAATGCTCATAAATATTGTTATCTCTAAGATAATTTTCTGTGAATTTTGGTTTTAAATTCAATTCCATACAATTACACGTATTCTTCAATTTTCATTAAACATTAGTTTTCATCGTTGCCTTTTTTTTTGATACTTAAAAATGATCTCTTTCCTTATATCTAGGTTATTTTTTAATTATATAATACTCTAATGTGTTCAATTTTGTGCTATAGGACAAAGTAAGTATTAATGTAAAATATTCTCAAAAGTAGCACACTATCGAACCGTATATATTTCACAGATAACATGTTTCTAGACTGTAGGAACTCATTGTAACTTGCATGATGGTTCTATTGAATAGTTTATTTTCCTCTATGCAGAGAACTCTATGTTGACGATATTTAAACAATACTCAAGAGTCCTATTAAAAATTCTTTTGCACCAATGATCAGCACAGTATTCTTGATGTACTGATGTTAGTAACTTCTTGATAAATGGAAAATAAATTTTTCGTCTTGAGATTCTTTGTGAAATGAACATGAGATTCTTGTAGACTTTTATGCAAAAAGAAAAACTGGATATTGAGAATAAAAATTTGAAAAAAATATCAGATCACCTTATTGCAATCTTATACTCGTACTCTTGTTCAGAGATCTCGAGGCTAAAAAATTGATTTCCATTTATGTATTAAGGACACTGCTGATTATTGATACATAAAAATTTTTGATAGCACCTTTGAGTATTGTTCATAGCTGTTGTTCCAAAAGATATTATATGTAAAATATGCAGAGTTCGATAGTGTAAAATTTTTGAAAAAATTTTATATTGCTACTCACTTGTTCTGCAACATAGAACTGAAGATATTGAAATAGTATTTGATCAAGAAGTCACATGTGAACACTGTAAATAAAAAAAAAATTTTTATGTTTTCTCTGAACTTTTTCCTTTTACGGTTTTATAATTAAAGTCAGATTCAAAGTTTACCAAGAATGAATAATGCATCATACACTGTCAAATATAGTATTCAGACAACAAATTTAACTTTCAATTTTATTAGTACTTATCATCAGTCATTACGCTCTCGTATCATAATTATATGATACACCGATGATGCAATGCATCTTTGATTTTCAAAACTGCCCCGTACCAACCACTTGCTCATCCAAAATACATGCTTTCAATAAAAATTTATCAGTCATTCAATGTTTTCTATTATATTTCTTAAAGATTATACTAATATATGAACCCTCAGTACATGAAAATTTAATTTAAGGTAGGTCATCGAATTCGCCAAAATTTCTTTGTTTCAATTATTAATTCATCATTCATCAAAGATCATACATAATCAAAAAAGATCATAAAATTCTTCAAATTTTTTCAGATAATAAATTTATATATTCTAATTTGTTAAGATAATAATTAAATATTTATTTAGATTGATTTACAAACAAAATTAATCGACGCTCTTCGTATATTTCAATCTATACGTATATCAGCATTACCAGTTGTTGATAGTGACAAAAGATTACGTGATATCTATTCAAAATTTGATATAATGGTAAATAGAATATATATATTTTTTTTTTATTAAACAAAATGTACTAATTTGTTAATTGTTGTTTTTTTCTCATATTAGCATTTAGCAGCAACACGTACATATGCTAATCTTGATGTACCATTATGTGATATACTCGATTCGATTCATGATCATAATACTTATCAATTAATAACATGTAAAACGACAGATCATTTATTTAAATTAATGGATAAATTCGTTACTCGGGAGGTAAATTGATATTGTTATTATTTCTCGTCGGGAGACCATAAAAAGGAAAATAAGGAAAAAAAACAATTCCGCCTACTTTCTTCTTCTATTTTTTTTTTTTTTGTACTAATTGAAATGACGCATTCAATTGCAATAGATCTTTTCTTATTATCTATATATCTATGTAGGTACATCGTATGATTATAGTTGATGACAATCAACATATTATTGGTATTCTTTCCATATCCGATCTCATGAGATTTCTTGTATCAACATTTGATAGTAAGCTATGTTTATTTAATATTCAATTGATATTTTTTATAAAACTTATATTGTTTTGTTTTGTTTTTTTTTTTCTTTTATAGAAATGAGTCGTACTAGTTCGAATACATCAACTAGTACTTCGAATGGACCTGTTTTTGAATGTGAATCAATGGATACTTGACATTTTTTTATAATTCTTAATCAAAATATTAGGTTCCCTGTTCATATTCATCATAACAGCAACTGTTTATCAGATGTTTATTATACTTCACTGTTGGTTAAACCTTGTTAAACACTTTTTTCTTTTGGTTCTATATTATTTTTGGGTTGTTGGCTCTCGGTTTTTTTTTTCTTGAAACTTATAACAAACAGATAAAAATGATAACTGATTTTTTTTTCTTTTCGTTTCTTTTTTTTTGTTTTCTTTTTTTTTTTTTTTTGGTGATTTTTTTTCCTTGCCTTTAAATATCTTTCTTCACTTGTTTTCTCATTAAATAACAAGACTAAACATAGCTGGCGGCAAACGATGACATGTTGTTCATGCAGACAAGTTCTACTTGTCCGTTTCTCTCATGAGAATCATTCATTCTTATATTCAGTCTTGTCACCATTTTTTTTCCCTTATAATTCTTTTTCCTCTCTGTCGATTCAGCGTCTATTCTTTTCTTTCGAAATTCTTTTCTTTACGTCTGCACGCGTTTCCAAACTGGCAAAAAAAAAAGAAAGACGGAAGGAAAAAGAAGAAAAATAAAGAGAAGCTTGGTAAGGATATATCTTTCTCTTGCCGATCGTAGTTGTTGATGTAGATCGTAGTCGGTCGGTGGTTAAAACGACTGTGTGACAGTCGGAGTCAATTTTCTCTCCTTCTTTTTTTTTTTTTTTTCTTTGCTTCTTTTTCTTCTTTTACTTCTTCTTCTGATGTCAATCTCAAACAAACAATCATCATCATAATCAGGAAAATCGACTAGAACGAGATAGATTAGACCAAAACAAGTTGTTGTTGTTTGTTGTTTTCTTTTTCGGTTTTTTTTTTTTTTTTTTTGGTTTTTCTTTTTCTTTTTTGTTCTTCGATCGTTCTATTATAGAAAAGAGTGAGAGTAAGAGCACGACGTCGCTCCATCAGTCGTCGCATGCTGGTGGTGTTATAGAAAAAACAATAATAACAACAATGGGCGACTCAATGATAACTCCATCAATTGAATATGACTATTTGATCAAATTTCTTGCATTGGGAGATTCTGGTGTTGGTATGAATGAAGATTTTCTTTTATTTTTATTTTTATTTTAATCAAAGAAAAAAACAAAACCATAGAAATGTTTCTTTCTATATCAATTTAGGTAAAACAACATTTCTTTATCAATATACCGATGGACAATTTAATCCAAAATTTATTTCAACAGTTGGAATTGATTTTCGTGAAAAACGTGTTGTTTATCGACCAAAAACTCCACCAAATGCTAAACCATATCGAATTCATTTACAATTATGGGATACGGTAAATAATTATTATTTTCTTATTTATTATTTCTTGTGTTTTTTATTTTTTAATAGGCAGGACAAGAACGGTAATCAAAAAACAAAAAAAAAGAAATCTTTTGCTCTACATTCTTTTATCTTTCTAGTTTTCGAAGTTTAACAACAGCATTTTTTCGTGATGCAATGGGTTTTATTTTAATGTTTGATTTAACATCTGAACAATCATTTCTTAATGTACGTAATTGGCTTACTCAATTACAATGTCATGCCTATTGTGAAGATCCTGATGTGATACTTGTTGGTAATAAAGCTGATCGTGAAGATGCACGTGTTATATCACAAACACGTGCTAAAGAATTAGCCGATAAATATTCTTTAAATTATATTGAAACAAGTGCATTTACAGCACAAAATGTTAAAGAAAGTATTGAAATGTTATTAGAAAAAGTTATGTTAAGAATGGAAAAAACTATTGGTAAGTTATCATGATTGACATATTTTTTTATATTCATATGTCAGATAAAAAGGATTTTCTTTTTTTTTTAACTAATGGATTTCTATATGAGATAAAAGAAAAAAAAACCGACAAGAGTATTTCATCTATTTTTTGATGAACTTAAAAAAAAATAGAATAGATATTGAAATCGATTGGAACTTTTACGTAATCAATACAGAGATTCTATCTATGATCTAAATAGACGATCGAACTAATAGAAAATATAATTCATTTTATTGTTTATATTCGTTCTATGTATTGATTGTCATTAGTATAATAAATTGATTTATAGACTATAGAGAATTTCAAAATAGTTCTTAACTATTATGATGTAATGATTCGATTACATTGTTTTATCAATACTTATTTATATGACTAATTTGTTTTTTTTTTTGTATATAGATAAATCAATATTTCCTGTACGACAACCACCACCGGCACCAACAGCTCCAGAAGAAGCACCATGTGCCTGTTAAATTCGTTATTATAGTTAAATGTTGTTGTTTTCATTACCTTTGTTTCGTCTTAGTCTGCCTTTGACAGTGAAAATATTTGAATACTGTGAAGTATTACGAGTCTCATGACATTTTCTTTTTTCTCTGATAATACTATTCGTATTTCTGTACTCTCACTATTTCTGTACAGCTTTACAAATATATATTAATCTATAATATGAATCTTAATTTTGTGTGTGTGTGTGTATATGTCTATTTGTTATTGTCAAAATATTATATCTTAAAATTTTGTTTTGTCTTCTGTAAGTGTAATATGAATATGATTTGACACATAATGCACTTGCTAAAAATGACAGATAGCTTATTTTTATTTATTTTTTGTTTTGTTGTCTTCAAAATAGTCAATCTTACAATATACAATATCAACAATTAATATGTTAATCAAATAAATATGAATGATAAATAACAAATATTTGAAATAATAATATAGCGATTAATTTATTCTTATTAGAATTTTTCTTTTTTTTTGGATTCATAAGGCGAAAATATAAAATAGTTTGAATAAAACAATATAGATCATAGATGGAAGCAGTACACTCTATCTTGTTCTTCGATTGATTATAAATAATTGTCAAACTTAAACTAATTTATCTAGTTTAAGAATGAATGAAGACAATTACCTTTCCTCTTCAAAGTGTATATCTCTTAATACTACAAAGATGCAATACATAGGACACGTACCTATTTCAGATCAACCGATTCGATCCGGTCTGAGAATTGTTGAAGTCTTACTGATAGACAATAGATTATTTCATGATGAAGAACAATTCATTATGAGATAACTTGAAACATTTGAGTTTGACAATGATATACAGAATGAATGAGAATATTATTTTGTACAAATCTTAATGATATAGATATTATAAATAAAATTATTTGCAAGAGTAAAAATATTTTCTATTGAATTAACTATTATCTAAAATGAAAAATTGATTTAAAAACATTATAATCATTTTCATACTTCTTTCCAATTCACAATCGATCTCATATTTTTTCACTTCAATGAATCGAAAGCAAAACACATGTAAAAACAAATATTAAACATCATATATTTAACTTATGATTTGAATTCATCAGTAATATGCGATTGACATGAGTCCTTCATGCATCACTACACTACATTCCATTATTGAAAAATAACATACAACAAAAAAAAAAAAAGAAATACAAAAACGACATTGTATTGATTTATTTTTGACATAAATACTAATGCTTTTTGACATTTCGAATACATAATTAAGAATGATATATGAGTGTCCTCGATAATTAAATTTTTTCCTATCAACTTATTTTCAACAGATATACTTGGTTTAAATAGACTTTCTTCATACATGGTGTATCTATTCCATATGAATCTTATACATTATCTTAGCTAACGAGAAGAGATTCTCATCTTTGACGTGCCATTTTGAATTGGACACATATCAATTTGCAAATTACACTGGTATTAGACAAAGATTAGATGAGTTTATTCCCACATCTTACGCTGCTTGAGTTATGGTCATTTATTGGACTTTTACCCTTTGCTAAGGGAAATATAAACATGTCTTGTTAATTTTTTCCTTTCTGAGATATTGAACATTTAACAAGTGTCAAGAATCGAAACAAAAACTGACAATTATCTATATACAAAGTTTCAGATTACAATTCAATATTTGAAGGAACTTTTCTAGTTGCATTGTAGTCTACAAATAGTTATGATTTCGATTCAAAATGGTATGACACATTGGAGAACAGTGTATCATAAGACAAAATAGATACATGTGGACAAATAAAAATATTTTAAATATGAAAGATATTGAGCATTTTAAATTAATTAATGCATTGAAATTCACTTTGTATAATTAAGGATGATAAAGCTCTTCTAGTTCGAGTATAAGTCGACATAATAATTCTTCTATATACAGACATTAAAATCTTTTTGATTAAACTAATTAGACAAATGCATGGATGAACTTTGATGCAAATTAGATAGAAAAATGACTATTGTATGACTTTTTTTTTTTTACAATAGAACGACTAATTTAAATGTGAATGATTCTCTTCTTTTTTTTTGTATGAGACTTGTAAGAACTTTGCATGTCAAATTATCACCATTTGAATGAAAATAAAATTTCTCTAAAGAATCAAAAGAATTCAATGACATAACAAATTTGATATTCATCAAATATAGACAAAAAAAAAATATGTTTTTATTAAAAACATATTATAATTAGTAGATCATACTAAATCATTATTATTTGTTACATAAATAAAGATCTATTTTTTATTCGTATTGATGAAATATGAGTAAAATCAACATAAATAAAAGAATGAATTAGATGTTTCTAGTTATGTATAACACTTATCATATAGCTGAGTTACGATGGTTTTTTGACTTGAAAATGTTAGTATGACCTCATTATGTTTTATAAATTATGACATGTCAATTAAGTGACTTACATCTATATTTAGATACTATTGATTCAATCGAAACTGTCAAAATTCACATCCTTTGCAGGAAATATCACAATTTGTGTCTAGTTCAATAGTCATTATCTATAATCTAAATATAATGATATTCGAATGGCAACTTAATGAATACATTGGATTTAAGACAAACTTAAGAAATAATATAAAAAAACAAGGATAGTATATAAGTTGTTCAATAACTCTTATTCAAATATATGTTCGACGTGTCATAGCGCCATCTC